TTCTCCCTTTCTTTCCCTATCTTTTCACATAGACTAAAGGATTTCCTTATTTTATCACCTCATTCTCACTAAAGAAAAAGTCTAAGAATGTAAAAAATGTATAGGACTGCAACTTGGGTAGGCTTGCTGATTGCTGAAGTTCTTCAATCTTGATTTGTGATACATGTCTTCTGGGGTGCAAATGAAATGCCACACCTGATTCACTCTCAAAAGTATTGTAGTCAATTACTGAAAAAGATCTTATACTTTCTCTAAAAACGAGAAAAAGAAAAAACTTGGGTGGACTTAAACTGATACTTTCTTCATCAAATCAAAACATTTTTGGGACTATGATTAAATTTTGGGGTTTCAAGTAGGCCTGGGCCTGTAAACTTAAGGAGATAAAGTTAAAATGCCCTTATGAAAAATGAATTAACTTCCAAAAGGAGATAAATCCTTAAAATAAGGAATGCAAAATGTAGCCTAAGCCTGGAAAAATCTTTGGGCAGACTTGGGTTGAAAAATTGGGTAGCCTAAGCCTGACCTAAGCCCTGCTTGATCTAGGCCTAAGTTTAATTTTGGTTTGATTTTATTATTTGAAGCTATAAGCTAAGAGAAGATATGAACCATGACAGGGGTAGGGGTGTCAATGGTATGTGAAAATCTGATTTCATATTCGAAATTCGACGTAATCAAATCAAATTTGGATAGTCCAAATATCTAATCGGTCGAATTTGGATATGACCTGATTCGATTCAATTAATACTTAAATATTTTATAATATATATATATATATGTAATTAAATTATATAAATAATTTATATATTTATATAAATAAAATATTTATTCGATTAAATATTTAAATACTTTATTCGATTTGAACTTAATCAGTTTACACCCATAGACAGGGGTAGCTTGGAGCTATATGACCCTGCAAATGGTTGTGACTTTTCTATTCAGTGTTTTGAAACCGTCATTGACCTAGACGGTCGGACAATTCAGCTCAGAAACCATCTAGGCAACTGGTTATGTTTTACCCTTAACTCGTTCCTGGGTCAGAAACCATTGATTTGGTCAAAGAACCACTGACTCGAATGGCCGAACTGTCGACCCGTTCAAACTAGACAGCGGTTCGTGGTTTAAAAGGAGGTAAACGAGATTGAAGAATGACCTTTGAGACAAGAATGACATCAGATCTGAGATTGTCCTAGAGAGAGAGAGAGAAGAATGACCTCAGATTTGATGCTCGGAGCCTCGGATGTTGCATTGTTGTTGCCGTTGCCGTCACCATTGCTAGTGAATGTCAAGTGATCCTCCTCCTCCTCCTCCTCATTTGTCCCTCCTTCCTTCCATTCTTTTTTTTTTCCTTTCTCTCCTCCCAACAACCAGATATATCTCTTTCTCTTGATAAAAGACTAAACCGTCTGAACAGTTTGACTTGGACGGTCGAGCCGCTTACCAGAACGGTTCCATTTTTAGGTCAATTTTTAAAACATTGTTTCTAATAAAAAAGTAACTAAAGAAATGGCCCATGCAGGTACCAAACCCGTGACCTTTGTGTTATTAGCACAACACTCTAACCAACTGAGCTAATAGGCCATTTTGTTAGGCATTTTTTAGGTAACAACCCATTTTGTTAGCCCTTTTGTTAATAACCTGTAGAAAATGCATGCTCCTTGAAGTCATTCACACCTCTTGAGGCTGCTCTCCCTACTCTCTAGTGGCTTAAGCTAATGTACAATGTTGCGAAGAAATTTTTTTTTAATATTAACACAACGAGATATCTATGATGTGGTAAAGTTATGGTACTGGAAGAGTTTTGATCAATCAAAAGATTCAAAACCTACTCATGAATTTTGATAAATAACATCTGATTGGCTACGACGTTTATGATACCAATTGATTGGTTAGAATCTTTTTATATATCATCAAGGTTCAAAATATCGATTCACCGGTAGAGGTGTATTGAGCAGTATTGGTGTTTTTTTTTTTTGTTTTTTTAGTTTTTTCAAATCTGGTTCAGAGGGAACAGTTTAAGGTCCGTCCACCCACTGAACTGGTCAAAACCCCGATATACCCTATGTAGGGGTATATCAGCAAGCTCCTGATACGATATGTATCAGTCGATTCGGGCCGATATGTGTCAATATTTTGAACAATGGATATCATATCTTTCTGTTATCATAATTAATCATGGGACTCGATTCCACGTCTTTGCTGGAACTACCCAGCTAACATGCCAACCGAGCCACCACTTAGTTGGCATGTCACTATAAGGCCTACTTTTCAAACCGAACTGATAGTATCACCCCACTCCTTGGTGGCCAAGTCATGTACAAAGTCAAGAAATGGTTTGAAGTGATTTGCTTCGAGGGAGTACCAAATAATCAAAATTCAATGTCTCTCTCTCTCTCCAAAGTACTGACCAAACCGACCAAACCGACCCAAACCCGCGACCAGTTCATAAGAAGACCCAAACCGACCAAACCGACCAACCCGAGTCGGTCGGGTTTTCTTTCGTGTCGGTTAGTTTCGAGTTACTAAAAAGCATAAACCGATGGGTTGGTTCGGTTTTGGTTTCCACACATGAAAACCAAAACCGAACTGACCCAAACCGATTTAGTTCCTAGTTAGTACTTAGTAGTTAGTACCTAACTTAGTTTCTACTTTCTAGTTACTTATAGTTTCTAATTTCTAGTATTCTCTTTAGGAATGCCATTAATGGCAAGCATTGCAAGACAAGGAATCTCATTAATGCCATTAATAGCTTTTTACATTTTTTTGGAAGGTTTAAAGAAAGGATCCTATTCTCTAAGGTCCTTTATACAAATAGGTAATTACAATTAGGTGTCTTTTTAACTTAGATTAAAAGCCTTCTTAAAAATTCCGAATTCCAGTCTTCTTTTTCTAACACAATTTGGCTTTCTCTTTTCTTGGTAACTTCTAACTTGGTTCACCCTTACTCCCTTAGCCCCTCAATTCAAGCACTCAAACCAATCTAAACTGACCCAAACCGACTCAAACCAATCAGGTTGGTTTTGGCTATCATAGGGTCGATTTCAGTTTCATTTTCAGGCAACCCGACCAGGTCGGGTCGGTTGGAAAAACAACAGTAAACCAATCCAACCCGACCCGTGAACAACCCTAGATACAATATCAATAGGAGGATTATCGAAGTAATGACTATGACGATTTTGATCAAAGGCTATGTTAACTAATTTATCAACACATCTATTAGTTTTCCTATAATGGTGAACTAGCTAGAATTAAAGATGTACATTGATCTGCTTGGAAAAAAAATATGTACATTGATCTATGAACTCTAAAGTGGCTTTAAATAAAAACTCAATTTGTCATTCAGGTAGGGCTATTAATTGGATTGGATTTGGTCCAATCTAGTCCAATCCAATACGGATCCATTTATAAATGGACTGGACTAAATCTAGTCTAAATCCATACAAACCAAGTTCAATCTAGTCTAAATAAAATGTAAATTGGCAGGATTGAGTCCAATCCAATCCAAATTGAACCAAATACCAAAATAACATGAGAAATCTTGAAAATATATAAAAAGCTACAACACTTGTTGCAATCCAATACAGTCCAATTAAAATGTAAACATAAAAAAGTTTTCGTAAAAATACTTTTATATAAGTGCTTTCATAAAATTACCTTTATAAAAGTGTTTTCATAAAAATACTTTTATAAAAGTGTATTCGTGTAAAAGTGCTTTTGTAAAAGTACTTTTATAAAAGTGCTTTTATGCTTTCATGAAAGTGCTTTCATAAAATTATTTTAATAAAGTGCTTTCATATAATTACTTTTATAAAAGTACTTTTATAAAAGTGCTTTCATAAAATTACTTTATAAAGATGCTTTTGTAAAAGTGTTTTCGTGTAAGAGTGCTTTAGTAAAAATACTTTTCATAAAATTATTTTTATAAAAGTGTTTTTGTAAAGTACTTTCGTAAAAGCACTTTCATAATAGTGTTTTATGCCAACTTCAATTTTGATCAATTTCAAATTGGATAAAGATTTGGCCTCATGATCGGATCATTGGAAATTTGGTTTAGGTCCAATATAGACCAATAAGAATATAGACCAATTTATTTTGGATTGGCCCAATCCAATAATTATAACGGACTGCCCAAATCCGATTTAATAAGTTTTTGATCGGATTGGATCCAATCCAAAATTGGTCCATTAACACCCCTACGTTTAGGACATCATCGAGAGCTGAGAGTTGTAACAATTGATAGAGAGGAGGTTGACTAGTGTCTCCTGCAAACTACTCAAAGAGATAAGGGTAGACCGAAAAGGACTTGGGTACGTAGGGGTAACAAAAAATGACTTATGCACTAATAATTTAAGGATGGATATGACACTCGATACAAAGAATGGTTAGTTAAAATAGGATTCATGGATATTACACTCAATACAAAGAATGGTTAGTTAAAATAGGATTCAGTTCGTCGAACCACTGACCCTAAAACTAGTGGTCAAATTGGTCTGGTTCCGGGTCAATTTTGAAAACATTGATCCATTATACTCTTAAACTGAGTTGCAAGACCTAACAAAAATGGATGTGCAAAAAATATTCAAAATTACTTTAAAACCCGACTTACCCACACAGGCCCAACCAACCTGTCCGAGGACAGCCGGAATTCTCTTAGGTTAAGCTTGGTATGAACCTGGGCTGATAAACTCAGGCTAGCTTGACCTTAGGTTGGTCCATGCCTGAGTTCAAGGTTTGAATTTTAGAATTGGACCTGGTTTGATCGTCAAATCCAATCCAACCAGCCTGAGTTACACCCTAACTGTAACCAATCACCATATCGCTGGTGCAAATATTCGTAGGCAGGCATACTTGTTTTGTGATAAAGCGGAAAGGATCTGTCACAAGTGAGTCTTGGGTCGATAGGATGTTTCGAAAACAAAACTAGAGAAAGTTTGTCTGGAAAAAAAAATTTGGTAAACACAAACCTTATTACCACAACAAGCAATCAAGAATTCACCCGTCTACATACAAATTAATAAATCCGGAGAAGAGTAAAAACTACTCTGATCTGTTCCATTCAATCAAAAAAAAAAAAAATCGAGAAAAGACATTAATATTAGGGGGTGTTGCTGATGTGGTTAAACATGCAGAAGAGCAAGAAGAACAGATTAATCCTTTCTGTTCATGCAACGCTTGGCGTTCTGGGCATTTCCTTTGATGGATTCCTTCGCGTCTTCGCTCTTTCCGATCACTGTTTCCTTGATCTTCTGGGATGTCTCCTTGGTCATTTCCCATGCCTCTTGGGCTGTTTCTTTTGCTTTCTCTGTAAGGTCTTGTGCTGTTTCTGATACCTTGCCCGTGACCTCTTTGGCCTTCTGCGTCATCTACACATCCAATCAAAGACAAAAAATTACAGTAATCAATCGAATATATTCTCTCAATTATCTCTGCAACCTTTTGGGCTTTCTGGGTCATCTAGACTCCCAAACAAGGTCAAAAAATTTCAGTAATCAATCGAACATATTCTTTAAATTATCCGCAACCTCTTTGGCTTTCTGGGTCGTCTCGACATCCAAACCAATAAGGCCAAAAGTTTTTAGTAATCAATCGAATATATTATCTCAATTTTCTAAATGAATAAACTACTTGATAAAACCATGAAGTCAACACATTCAAGCATTATCTCATATGCAAGGATCAAAGTATAGTCTAGTATCGGGTACTAGACAACTTGGATATGAATATGGATGCGGATACGCTTGATAAATGCATGAATATACATGAAAAATAGGAAAACACTTGGATATGATAGGAAAATTTATATAGATAATATAATTATATTATTAACAATACTATAAATAATGTATAAATACATACGAATTATATATGAAAAATATATTACAATTAATATAGCATGATGCAAAGATATTATACAATATTATTGATATTGCATCAATCAAAAGTCCAATACACAAATTATATGGAGTTTTACAAATTAATACATGTGCAAAGCCATTATTACTTTATTTTCTATTAAAGTACAAGGCATAAAATATATGTAATTATTACATTTGAATTATTATATTAATTTGTTTTCTATTTTACTATTTTTAAATTGTAACATTAACAAAAAAAAATCAACTAAAAATTAATTCTCAAGTGTTTGATAAATAATACTTCATTTTTGTAAATAATAAGTATATTATTATGAAATATAAACCAAAATATCAATTAATAATTTATAAAAATATATAATCTTAACTTAAAATATATATCAAACCTATTAAAATTTTGAAGATGCATATCATATAAAAATTCATAAATTTTAATTACTAAAATAATTATTCTATTATTAATATTTTATTTTTAGAGAATTTAAAAAATAAAAAACAAACAATCTTATTTACCTGTTCCGTTGTAGAGCAGGCCTTATCTTTCATTTCTTCGCCAGTCCTCTTCATATCTCTGCCCACTTGCTTCGCTGTATTGCTGGCCTTGTCGCAAGCATCGGAAGCCTCTTGTTTGGCGCTTGCCTGTGATAGAAACTCAAACTTCTGTTAACTAGGATTACTGAAAATCACCATTATTGCCAGTGTGATGAACACCCAATTCAATTAAACCGTAACTCTCGTACTACAAACTACAAATATCCAATGCAGTAAGAGTTGTTCAGATGTGATTGTCGTCAGATTCTGATCCACCGAGAATCTGACACACTACATAAAACTAGGAAACCGTTCGAACTTACTTGTAGAGGTCTTGGGGCAGCGGTGACAAAACTTCTGAGGCATCTTCTCGTTACCGAGGATCCAATTTGACGGAATTTGGGAACTGAGGTTGTTAGGGTCATGCTCGCCATCATTTGCTGTTCCTTGTTGTTTCTTTTTTATTCTTTTGTGGAACAGAAAACACGAATATGAAAACTCTCGGTTCCTCCTTAATGTATATATAAATGCAAAGGATGGTTGAGGGAGCCTACGTTTTGCCACGTGGAAAACTGTTTGACGTGCGTTGGACGTCGCATATTTTGCTCTTTTATGTGGTTAGATAACTGTCTGAAGTCTGAACATTCGGTACGACCCGATCTGTGAACACTCCAAGGTGGGGAGGGATGATCCTCCAACAAAGAGATTGTTTAAATATTGAGCATTGCCTTCAAAGATAGCAGAAGAGATCCCAAAAAAACTTTGTGAGTTTAATAAAAAGAATCTGGTAATGATTAATTACCACTTCTATTCTATTAGGTTATTCCGGTATTAGTTATCACTAAACCTGTTCCTAACCCATTTACCCCAGAAATGGAGTATTTTTAAGGGATGGATGTGCCTTTTTATGAGGGGAAGTTGCCCTTGCTATTACAATTAGACTCATGCAATGTACATATTCGTGCTAAAAGATGCCCATGTTTTTATGAGGCAATGACTACATTTGTTTTTTTATTAAAAAAGAATTGAATTGGTTGTGGGTGAGTCTAATTAAATAGTTTTATATTTGTTTTTTTTTTATATTTTCAAAATTCAAAAAAATATAAAATTTTTGGCAAATTGGGAATAGGGGTGTAAATGGATTGAATTCAAACTGAATCATGCAATATTTGAATTCGAACCTTATTAGAAAATTTGATATTTGAATTTAATTCGATATCCAATGAATATTGATAATCAATGTTTAAATTCATATTCGATTAAATATTCGAATATTCTATTCAATTCGAATTCGATAGATTTAATATTTTAGGTAATTAATAAATATATAAGATAAATATTTTATTTATATAAAGTATATAAATATATAAATTATTTATATAATTTAATAATCATATATATATATAAATTATATAAAATATTTAAATATTTAATATATTATATATAAGAATTAAATAATCAATCAAATTCAAATATTTAAAGAATCAAAAAAGGGTCATTTCTAAATTTAACTGGTTATGATATTCAAATTATCCAAATTTGATTCAATTATATTAAATATTAAATTCAAATAAAGAGAATACTTATGGGCAATTGCATTTTAATTAAGTATACACAAATATAAAGTACCGAGAAAACAATTTGAGTCAACTCGGGGAAAGAGTTAACCTAGACTAATTTCAATAAATAAATAATTATTAAAAAGAAATCGAGTCAACTCAGCTTGTTGAATTTTAAAACCGTATATAGCTCAGTTACTGCTTGACTTTTTTAAAATTTGGAGCCAGAGCCCAGAGGGGACACAGGGGAGCCTTGTTCCCCTTTATGCCCCAAACTTACATTCCTACCCCATATCTCATGGTTGGTCCCTTCACTTCATGGCCCCTTCCCTCTGTCCCCACCCCTACCCCGAAAGAAAGAAAAAAAAAATCTAAAGGGTGCATTTGGAAACGATGCAAATAAGTGTGAGTGTAAATATGTAGTGTAAAATGGTCTATTTAAATTGCAAAGTTGGGTTAGTTTTGCACTGACAAATTTATTTTCTTACTAAACAAATTTTTAGTTGTAATGGATACAAACACGAATTTCAATAAAGTATATGCTTTTTTTATCAAAAACCCACTTGAATGTAAATTTACTTCTTTTTTAATATTGATGTACTTTTACATCTTATTATATGTAATGTTGCCAAACTTGATTTTAATGCCTTTCTACAATGTGCCGATAGGGACCTCATAGCTGAGATCTTCCATGAGATTCTTGCCACCTGGAAAGGCTTCTAAAATTTGCTCAAGGAAAAGGTAATGAAGTGTGCTTATGTGTAGTGTTCTATGTAATTATTTCCATGCAGATGGATAACTGGGCTTCTGGTGACAAACTTGATGAACATCGACACATCAGGAATCCTTGCATTAGAAGAGCTTCATATGGTTTCTCATGGTATAGAAGCCAAAGATTTACAATCTCTGGTTTCCCTGAAACCTTGCTTGTAAGGAGTTGCTTGTAATCCATGTACAGGTAGGGGTGTTTTAGGATTTATCAATCCCTGGTTACCCTGAAACGTTCCAATTATTCCAACAAGATGAACAATCCGGGGAAGAAGGTTGTAGAAGCCAAAGATCAAGGGGTGAGGGCAGTAGCAGTCAAAGATCAAGGGAACAAGAAATTTTCATAGATCAATAAATTGTATTTGAACAATTTGCAAATTGCAAGTGAAAAAATAGTATTTCAGTTTTCTTTATAAATTGTTATAATGATTAATCTTTATATTAATAGATTGAGTTTTACATTTAATTTTTATTTAAGTTGTTTAAGTTTTCATATATCAATTTGCAAGAGTGTATTAAGTATATATTATAGTGGTGGATCAATAAAGTGCACATATAAAAAAAAGTTGAAAATAGCATATAAAAAAAATTAAAAAACAGTGATCAAAGCCGGCGATCACCTAATCGCCACCATAGCTACATAAGACTTATAAGCCAGTGGTTCAGACTGCTGCCTGAAGGGGCAGGCTAATTTTTTTAAAATAAAGCCGGCGGTTTTGACCGCCGCTTAAAAGAGCAGGGTTTTTACTTGAACCTACTCCGGCGGTCCTTGGTGTCTAAGCGGCGGTCGCGACCGCCGGAACACATGTAAATAGCAAATCAAACTGGCGGTCCGCTTTTTGCACCCGTGGTTTGTTATGCCGGTATTTATAATATCTTTAAAAAATATTTATTTATTTTATTTTCATTGCTGGCGGTTTAGGATCGCCAGTATAATACAGGATGGCCAACAATTTTGGAAAACCGCCGATAATGGCTTAATTTAATGGTCCAAATTGGTACCACATTTACTGGCGGTTTTGAATAGATATTGGGGCGGTCTTTTTTATAGTGACCATTTTTCCAAAAATAAAAAAAATAAAAAAAAACGTTGTTCCAGACCATGCCTTAGAAAGCAGGAAAGTGTGTCTAGAGCAACACCAAATTCAATATTTTTTTTAGAAAATGGTGCATTGCTGCTAGCAGTGCAATGATGTGCATCATCTTGGACATTAGATATTATAAATCAATGTTGAAAACATTGCTGCTAGCATTGGTACCAAACAAAACCAATGTTATTTTCTCAAAAAACTCCTATGTGACAATACCGGTTCCAAACAAAAAATAAGCCCACATACCCAGCACAGTTTTCATGAGAAAACGGTATGACATTCCGAACACCGATGCCAAACACCTACCTGATTGTAAAGTTTGCTTTATCTTGTTTTACACTGATTATGTGGTCAGTTCCACCTTTTTTATTGAATCACTCTCCAGAAGTATTTTAGTCAATTAATGAAAAGCTTTTATACTTTCTCTAAAAAAAAAAAAAACTTGGATGGACTTAACCTTAGACTTTCCTGATCCAACCGAAACAGTTTTTGGACTAGGATTAAATTTTGGGGTTTCAATCTGGTCTGGGCCTGAAAACTTAAGCCCGGCAAATTCTTTGGCCAGACATGGGTTGAAAATTTGGGTAGCCTGAGTCTGAGTGCCTGACCTAAGCCCGATTTGACCTAGGTCTGAGTTTATTTTTTATTTGATTTTGAAGCTATATGCTAAGAGATGATATCAACCATGAGCATGAAGATAATGAAAAATACAAAAGGGATTTGAACATTAAGCCTCATAACAATATCTTCAGCCATTCAAGCTAGCTAGATTTAATGTGTTTACAACCTACCTGTTCAATCCAAGCCCAGGGTGACAAAATCCTGAAATTGTTCGGATTTAGGACAATTCGAGCTGGGGTCTACATGGCAGGTTTAACCCCGGGTCAGGTAGGGTTCGAGCCCTTGACTTTACATTGAGGGCATGTTTGTTTTTTGGGAAAACTTTGGAGGATAGTTGGTCAGTGGGAAAGTGGTTCCCATTGACCAATTTTGTTGTATTCACTTTCGGTTAGTTGTGGGTTCCATGGTAAAGTACTTTTTCTATGATACCTATCCTACATTACATTCCCACCATGTATTGAGAACATCTCCCGATGATGACATCATTATTTCTGGTATCATTATTGGGAGATGTTCCCAATACACGGTGGGGATGTGTTGTGGAGCGTTGTGTGGGGCAATCTTGAGGGGGGCTGATTTGCTTTCAATTTTTTCACCTAGTGGAAAATTGGCAAAGCTTAATGGGACAAATTTGCCCATTCTAATAATGAGTTTTTATGGATGAAAAGGTCATTGTATACTTACATGGAAATTAAAAAAAAAAAAACATGGTAATTAAACTTCATGAGAAACACTTAGGCCATGTTTGAAAGTGCTTAAGTTAAAAATAAGTGTTTTAAAACTAGTGCTTATTTGAATAAGCACTTACTTGCATTTGGCACCAAACTTTTTCAAGTGCTTATTTTTTTTAAATAAGCACTTATTTTATATTGGGCGTTTGGTAGTCTTTTTCTCTAATAAGCACTTAAAAAAGCATTTGCGATTATTTTGTCTTTTATTTTCTTTCAAATTTTGAAAATATATCCTTTGAAAGCAGTTTTATTAAAATATTTTTATGAAAATACTTTTATAAAAACACATTTATGAAAGTACTTTTACGAAAGTACCTTTATAAAAGTACTTTTACAAAAGTACTTTTACGAAAGTACTTTTGTAAAAGTGTCTTCGTAAAAGTACTTTTGTAAAAGTGCTTTTGTGAAAGTGCTTTCATAAAAATACTTTCATAAAAGTGTTTTTATAAAAGTACTTTCTTAAAAGTGCTTTCGTAGTAATTTTATATAAGTGTTTTTGTAAAAGTGCTATCATAAAAGTTCTTTTATAAAATTCAACTAGGGATAATTTTGGAAGAAAAAATTTGAATAAGTGCTTATTGTATAAACACTTAAAAGAAGTTGGAAATTTGGGCTTAAAAAATAAGCCCTTATTTTTAAAATAAGCACTTACTTCAGACTTATTTCCCAAATACCAATAAAGTGC